TCCTCAAATTGAAATAAATGGTCAGATATCTTTGTGTCTAAATTCTTTAACTCTTCATAAATCATACTTACAGTTTGAAACCTACCTTTCAATTCATCTAAGTGAAACGTTTCTTGTGTTAGTTCATCCTTTAAATGGTTCACTAGTCTTGAAAAGTTTGCCCTAACAACAGTTCTATGTTTCTTGTTCTTATTAAATTCCCTAACATCAGTTTCACTCATCATCTTACTATCCTGTCACGGTCGCCAAATGTTAAAACGCGATACTGATTCTTCTAAAAGGGGTATACTTTTTAAATGATCTCAAGAAAACATAGTACAAAAAGAACTTCAATTTTATTCAGACATAACTATTCAAGACCAACTCTAACAATCCATCAAAAGGAAAACACTAACTGCAAAATGTAAACAAATAAAACATGTGATGAATTAAATTAATAGCCTATATAAATAATCATCTAGAGACAGTCATTTTCAACATACTCCCACTTTTTGAGTCTTAAGTATTCATTATTTTAAAGACTCAAAACACATATTATCATTAAAAGTTCAGTCTTTTTGGTAACTTAATTTGTTTTCCTCGTTTTCTAAATTTAACTTTATTTACAACTTTTCCTTTTGATTGATTGTTAGAAATGGTCTTGAATAGTTATGTCTGATTAAAATTGAAGTTCTTTTTGTTCTATGTTTTTTGAGATTATTTTAAAAGTATATCCCTTTTAGAAGAGTCAGTCTCGCGTTTTAACACTGATAAAATTTTGTATTTTTATGACCAAAGACGAAGATTTATTTATAAATCCGGATACAATCTGAATGATTTTCCTAAAGCAAATTAAATTAGTTGTTAGTAATAAATTTTGACTCTTTCCGTAACATGGTAGACTAATTATATGAACTCATTCTCCCATATAGTGAAAGTGGCTTTGACATGAAACAAACTCATGAACAAACAATTAATTATAAGACTCCTAAAAAACCTTTTGGGCAACCTAAAGCCGATAAAAAGGTAGGAAATATTGTGTTAAACGAATTCATCAATCACGTTTTTTAAGGAACACAACCGTCATACTTATTTTCATGCTTATCCTCCCTTCATTTAACTAAGATTTTAATGACTTCATTCTATCTATCGCAGTTAGCTAAATTTACATAAAACCTCATGATTAACCGTCGATTTCGACGGGGTTCTACTAGTTATTATATTATTCTGTAGAACTATGTTGCAGATCTATTTATTCTTATAAATTTATAGTTTATTGATTATGGGAAATAAGTAAGATTATATTACCGTCGCTGTATCAACCCAGCTTCTAAACCTAATTAGGTATTTAAGGTACAGCCATTGACTATTGGATACTGATATATTGTTGTTGTATTAATAGTCAAAGGTACAGCTAAAGTGAATGATTTCATTGTCAGATTTTAGTGGGAAAAGTATTAATATTAGAACGTTTACATTGTTTAACATTTTAATATACTTCACATGTGTTTAGATTAGAGCACACACCTTAAGAACTAAAAGAGTTTTTCATTCAAAAGCATAAAGATAATTGTATATATTTTTTTCCAATTCAAGAGAAGTAAAGTTCTCACTATTTGCTTTTTCATACATTTTGTAGTACTAATTTTAGATTAAACCCCTAATTAATTATGATGCTTTCTAATCCAGAGTTAGTGGCAACCTATCTCTATCAATGACTTAAGATACTTAGTAAAGATTTCACATTCTATTCTAACAATAATTTTTTATGAACATTCCATGGTTTTTACGAAGTGTACTGTTATTTTCAACGAGCTTTCTTTTGTCCGTGTCCGGAAATCAGACTTCGCTTTTCCAAAAATTTGCTAATGTGCAAGACTGGTCTAGGCGTGGACAGATCAGCAGATGGCCAAGATCCTGAACAGCACCACACGCGCACAAGAGGGTTTCTTCGTCTGGTAAGAGACCCCATTTCTGTATGATTGTCTTGCATTTTGGTACCTCGACCCTGATTCGATTTAGGGTCTTCGACACCGTGTAATGAAGACCTCCACCAGGAGCCAGTTCCTCCCTGGCCGGTATGGGATGGTTAGTCAACGTGGCCTCCCACCTTGCCACCCGATTGCTTGAGAGTGATCCATCCAGGACTCATGTCCGTGATAAAAAGCTCTTTCTGGACCGAAGCCGTCGCTCTGCAGGTTGGTGGCCGTGTAATGGGTGACGAGGGTCTGTCTCTTGCTTAGTCCTTTCTGCGTCGGCAGCGACATCACGTCGGATTGATGGAGGGGCGATCCCCTACGATAGGATAGAGTTTGTGTACTGGGGTTGGTTTCAAACACCCAGTTACAATCCGAGCCATGTCATTGACTGCAATGTCAACCTTTTTTGCATGTGGCTATGCATTCCATACTGGTGCAGCGTACTCCGCAGCCGACACTCTGAGCGCTAAATCTGAGGTTCTGAGGACATTAGGGTTAGCACCCTAATCTTTTATACAGGAATAATATCATCAGGTCAGCATCTGCTGGTGAGCTTCCTCATGATATTATTCCTCGCTGAGACTTTACCCTTTGTCGCAATATAATGCGCTTTTAATGTCAGTATGCGGTCCAGTATGACACCAAGATATTTGGGTGTAGGACAATACCGAAGATGGTCTCCCCGCCACCTCACATTCAACTCACGGCCTGCTTCTCTATTGTTTAGGTGAAAGGCACAAACTTGGGTCTTAGCAGGGTTCGGCTTGAGGTGATTTGCGTCATAGTACTGGGAAAGTTCATTTAGAGTCATAGTCAGCTTCTGTTCCACCTCTTCAAAACTCCTACCTTGTGCCGCCACCACCGTATCATCGGCATATATATACTGACGTGTAGCGTTTGGCAACGGTTGGTCGTTAGTGTAAATGTTATTAAGAGCTGGGGCTAAGACGCTACCCTGAGGCAATCCATTTCTTTGATGCCTCCATCTACTTTTCTTGCCTTGAAGGGACACGAAAAACCGCATGTTATGAAGAAAAGTGCCTATCATTGAAGTCAGCTGATAGTCATTGGTAATGCTGTACACTTTTCCCAAGAGTCTTCGATGGTTTACGGTATCGTAGGCAGCTGTTAAATCTATAAAACGACACCCTTGATCTGTTTTCTCTCAAACCCATCCTCAATGTGCTGGGTCAGGTTTAAAACTTGGCCACAACAAGACTTGCCTGGTCGAAAGCCTGCCTGTTGTGGAATGATCTTTTGTTCCAGAAAATAGCCGATTCGATTGAGTATCAGACGTTCTAATATTTTATATGTTTGGCATAAGTGAGAAACAGGTCGAAAGTTCTTAGTATCGTTTGGATCTTTTCCAGGTTTGAGCAGTGCAGCCACACGAGCTTTCCTCCATGCCTTTGGTATATGCATTTGGCTTACGCACATGTTCATGAGGCTCAACAACTATTGCATGGCATTTTTACCTAGGTTCTTTAGTTGTTCGACTCTAATCTCGTCAATCTGGAGCTCTATTAGTCTTTAAGCTGGTAATGACTGCAGTTAGCTCGGACATGGTGAATGGTTCTTCCAGGAAGTGATTCTCACTTGCCACATCACGCAAAACAGGATCCCGGTATTTCCTTCCTTAGGTTTCGCCATTTAAAAGAAGGTTGGTAGCGACTTGATTGGCACTAACTGTTGTAAAGTTGTCTTTTGGTTTTATCTGTTTTTATCAACCCCGGCCGATAGACGGGTACTCTGCTAGTGTTATAATCATTAATCCCAATGATGTTAATGATGTCGGTCCAATACTGTAAACTTTGAACTTAATTCATAACTTAATAAATGTTATATTTCTAGGGCTGGGATGGCTAGATTTCGATACATGGACAGCTATAATGGCATGCACTGCATAAATCTTTCGGCCAATTTGACAAGGAATAACGATTACAAACTTGGGCGGCCAAGATATATTCGTATTTTATTCACCCAAATGCTAAAATATGCACTGCGGTTCAGTACACACTCAATATTTTGATGCTTTAAGTGTTGTCTACGCGGTGACCGAAGACTGTAAGCGAGGATAAATAAAAGTTCATATCACATCCCCTGATTATCAATGTGCTTTTGAAGCTAACCCTAACCCCTAACAGCTACCTAAACACCCCTAATATCCATGTCAGTAAAACAAAACCAAATAAAATGTACACTATTAACTCGAATAGCCCTTACAAAATCATAAAATACAGTTCCGTATCAAGCCAAATTATTGAGGAATGTATTTGTGATTCTGTGATTATGATTATGTTGTAGTGTTCAAACAAGTGACAACAAATATTTTAAATGCATTCAGCCCAGTTAATTTATAGATTAAATTAACTGTAACAGCAATCTGGCACATATTTTCTCCTATTAGCTTGTCACCAACCCTTATCAATGCACTTGGGTAAGCGGTGAAAGTAACTTTGATAATTTACTTGATAATAACATTTAATCCGTAGTTACTACGTCAATAGAGGTTGACCTATTTTGTTTTAGGTGACAAGGACTGTAACATATTCGGGCCATTTTGGAGAAAATTATATTTTTCACATTTTTATGGGAAATTCGCCATTAAGAATTAAAATGTCAGAGATACCATGGATTACTACTTACACGCCATATAAAAGAAAATTGGACCACAAGTGTGGTCTTAATCTCTGTACACGTCCACACCTACAAACCAATACACACGGACATTAAATCGGAACCGACTTTTTTGGGTGCAAGGGGGACAACGGATACATCCACCCAAAACACAAATTTGAAAATTTTGACGAAAGCAAAACCTACTCCATATAAAATCCCCCACATAGTATAGGGGGGTAATGTAAAAAGTAATATGCCTGCATCCATAACACAATTACTGTATTGAAATAGTTAAACCAACAAAAGTAAAAAAAAATACAAAATACTACATCGTGAAGTTACCATCCTCTAAAAAAGGCGTCGTCTGCTTTACAAAAACAGAAAAACAGTTTGTAATGTTGGGTAATGTTTGTTTGTTTTCAGAAAATGGATTCATAACGACGGATGACTTCAAAGATCTTTTAAGGGAGATAGATCCAACCATGACGGAACGCGAGCTACAAGGAGTTGTTGATGAGATTGACCTGGATGGGTCAGGGACTTTAGACTTCGAAGGTTATAATATAATAGATCACTTATAGAATGTATGTTGAACAAGAATCCTTGATGTTTGTGAACATGCAATTATGGGATCGGTGTGAATCCCGATGATGATTAGGCCAAACGTATCTAGTATGAAATCGTAAGTCGTAAGTATCTAGCCACAATGATATAGCACATACCTTCCAGTAAATATCAAATATAAACACCATGACCTAATATCAAACTTTCCACTGCCATCTTTCTAATTTCAGAAGATTCTAATTTCAGATTTCTCATGACATATTCAAAATCCAACAAATTTGTATGTTGGTCGTCAAAATCCAAGATGAGTTAACAATGTCAAGGCCTACTACTGTATACAAAATACCTGAAAAAACAACATGATGTTTAGCTAAATTAATCGATCATTAACGTGAACTAATAGAATTAAAATACCCACAGTTCATTAATTATTAACTGTCATCATTGTATTTTATAACCTCTTTAAATAGGTTTGAGTTCACATTTTTCAAAATCACCTTTAGAAACGTTTTTATTACACAACTTAATTTTAACATATTACTACATTTTGCAACCATGTTTACAATAGAGTAAACAAGGTTTCATTAAAACTTAGTAAAATCAGAAATCTGTAGAAATCTGTGTTTGCTTAGTTTTTTTTACCACTCCTCAAGCTATAATAGCATGTAGATACATGTATGGAACGTTTGTTTCATTCATATGGTTTATTAGAGATTTATTTTTGGTTTCAGAGTTCGTAAAGGCTTTGCGCTAGATGGCCATGTTCTCGTCTGCTCAAAACGTCATATTTTTACTGGTTTAGATGTAAATCAATTTTTTATTGCAATGAGTTTTTTTGTAGATAAACATTTTTGTTGTAGAGCCTGTAAATCTTATATTTTTGTACGTTTTTACAATTATTTCATGTCTCTAAAGCTTTGTTTTGTAACTCCAATTTTAATATTTATTTAGACCTTGTACAAACTATCGGTATAACAGTTAAAGTGCCGATGTAAACAACGCCTTTGATTGTTTTTTTTATCTTCAACTGTACTTGTCTAATAAAAAAGCTACTTAATTGACTGTGTGACTTTATTATAAACGTAAAATGGTTCTCTTACTAAGTTAAGTGAAATGATTTGTTGTGTGAATGAAGCATTTTGGCACATTAAAATTGCTCAACAGAAACAAGATAGACGCTCGTAGAAAAAATTTCCGAAGCGTACATAAGACGACTTAAAATCCTCCCAAGATTCAGGTCCATAAAATTTCTGTAAACTAGTTTTTAAAGAAGGGCCAAGCGGGCTGTATTACTATAATTATCTACCATATATACTCTAATGGGTGGCAAAAAAGACGTGTGGCGAATAAATACTTAAATATAAGATAAAGGTGAATAAAGTTAGTGGAGATACGCATAATTCTCACACACATTCACGAATATTGACCTTCTCTGGCAGACGGTATGGTAGCAGTCAGAAGAAAATCGAAAAAGTAAGCATGGGTTGGTATGTAAATAAGATGAAAATTCATGATTAGTTAAATGAAACTAATAACACAGACAATTGAGTCAAAATTGATGCTGTTTAAAGATCTCTTGAGTTTTTAACTTTTTTAACAACGCAGTGTCTTCTCTTTTTACCTGGATTGCCCGTTTAAGGCCAGATTTGTGGAATTCTATTGAACTTATAAATAAATTAAATGCAATATGCATATAAAACTATGCTTAAATTTTGGATTTTATTTTAACTTCTAGTGAGCCGTCCCTCATTGCAAATGCAAGAAATCGATCGGCTGCCATATTTGGTTAGGTTGTCCGTTTTAGTTCGGGATTGCGTAATTGTATTTTGCTAACAACGGTCTTTCATTTGATTTGTGCAGTATACTAATCTATGCGTACTGTTAAGTATTCAGTATTAAAATGAAAGACAACTTGGTACCTATATTTTTTTTAAATATTTGTGAGGATTTTATTTGTCTAATCTTGTTCTCACCTGGTGATGACCTAGTAGGTCGAAACTAGTTGTGAAATAATCAACAATTGGATTGCCAAAATCAGGTATTTAAATCACTATTAGTCATTCGTCGCAATACGGATGATATTCATACTACAATGAATTTTATATGACATAATATTATTTACAGTACTGAAAATATACACTAAACATATTTTAGTCACAAATGCCAAACCCGGTTTTTAAAGTATACGTTTATCGTACAATAGTTTAGCAGAAGGTTTTACGTAATCTGAAGCATAGTGAAACCTACCCGCAACTTTAAGATACTTGCAATTGATCATCACCACAGGGCATATTTATTCTATGCTCTGTGATCATCACCGAAAATTTGGCAGCCACATATACAGGGTGAGTTTTAAATGAGTTCCCCCCCTACTTTTTTCTACATTTCTTAAGATATCAACTCCGGACCACGTCAGATCATTGTAGAGTAGTAAGTACTTCATTTCGACTGGATATAAATTTTTGGCCGCCATCTTGGATCCGCCATATTGGATACAAAGTTTGTTTTTTCAATAGTAAAGGTAGGGTTGTGACCCATCGTTTTAAACTAATTTTTTATGCTGAATACGATGCTGCAATTCGTTTTTAAAAATCTTGATCCATTCTAAAGTTATGAGAACTTTTTATAACATTATTTTAGCCCATTTTAACATTGTGCATTAAGAAACTAAGAACATAATCGCAAAATAGTGCTAGATAAAGATAAGTATACACCACATAATATACATAAATCTTTATCTAGCACTATTTTGCGATTATGTTCTTAGTTTCTAAATGCACAATGTTAAAATGGGCTAAAAATAATGTTATAAAAAGTTCTCATAACTTTAGAATGGATCAAGATTTTTAAAAACAAATTGCAGCATCGTATTCAGCATATAAAAGTATTTTAAAACGATGGGTCACAACCCTACCTTTACATTTGAAAAAAAAACTTTGTATCCAATATGGTGGATCCAAGATGGCGGCCAAAAATTTATACCCAGTCAAAATGAAGTACTTACTACTCTACAATGATCTGACGTGGTCCGGAGTTGATATCTTAAGAAATGTATAAAAAAGTAGGGGGAAAACTCATTTAAAACTCACCCTGTATATTTAAAAAGCTGTATGGTTTATTTTCAAAGGTTGTTAATTTTGCTAGGTTTGTTAACAATTTGTTAACAAACTTTGGCAACAGATGTCTCAGGTTAATTTTAGGAATATTATGGCCTGTAGTCATTACCAACGAAGAGTTATTGGCCAGAACCAATCAAATCTCACTCAAGAGGAAAATTAAAGAAAGAAGGAATAACAGGAAGTAGGTCAAGTATATTGTTGTTGTCAAGTATATTGTTATGAAAAATCCTATGGTATACAAAATGGCCTTTTCCTCTGATTTTATTTTCCCTGTTCATATTAAGATAACTACTTTTTGTATACATGTACTTTTTTAGTTTTACAGAAAATGCAAGTTTAACCGAACTGTATTTTCAAGAGAAACTCTTAGATTTTAGAAGACGAAATCAAAGAAACAGTGGATTTTTATAAACCATTTTAACACTATCTACAGTCCAGTGTAGCATAAAAAACTTTAGTAAAATTTATTGATTTTTTATCATGAATCACAAATTTACACTTACATTGCGGAATAAGGACTTTCACAGATATTTTAACTTAATGAATCTGTACTATTTTTATAAAAAATCTAATAAATAGTATAAAAATGGCAATAAAATTAAAATAAAGACAACTTTTACTGCACTTATGGCCATTTTAAACAAGCAAATACAAATATAGAAAAAATATTCATTCATCTGTTATTCTCTAAAGGAGAGGGTGTGGAAACCTAGATTGGCACCATTTTGTCACTAATACTTAGTAGTTTAACACATAAACACTAACTTTTTAAACACATTAGAACTACATAAACATTAGTTGTTTTACACTAACTTTGTTTCTCCCTGTATATCAACGTAGTGAATACATAAAATTCATTTTTTGTCCTAGGACGCTAGGCACGAGCCTGGAATTGTTTTTCACATTACTTTAGGCTAGACCTAGGGGTTGCGGCATTATCACTTAGATAAAATCCATTGGTGACTTGGCAGGGATCGAACCCGGGACCTCAGGGACTGAAGTCCCGCGCTCTAACCACTACGCCAGCTCGCTCCCCAGTGAATACATAAAATTAGAATAAATAACACACTTAGCTAAAAGTCGGCATATTTGATGGCAAAGGCAGAACTATTCTGTAATCCAGATACTAGGAGGTGACGAATTGTGGATATTTATAGGAATGCACTGTGGATACGATGCTCCCTGGTGTGGATTAACGTCCGCACTAGTAAGTACTACGACAATCCCCCCCCCAAAAAAAACCCCTTCAAGCACTGGGTCTTGTTCTTCGAAGCTCCAAACATTTCCAAGACGTTACTCTACTCAAACCCCTGTTCCTGGCCTTCGTATTGCCACACCTAGAGTTCGGCTGTTGTGTTTGGTCACTTCACCAAGACCATCTCAAGACCGAACTTCAAATGGTTGTTAATCACTTCTTGAGAGTGGTCGGTGTAAGATTGGGATAAAACTACAGAGAGGTACCCATCCAAGACATCTCCGTGGCCCTTCAAATTCAAACCCCATTGGAGTCCAGACGTGAGATCCAGGACATCCTGCTCATTTTTAAACTGGTCAATGGCTTCATCGACTGTCCCGGACTTCTAAAACTTATGAAATTCAGGGCGGGTAGATCTTCAAGATTCAAGGACCTCTTCTCTCGTGATCATCTCAGCACCAACTATCATCTCTTCAGCCCATTGCCCGGGGCCCAACGTCACGTCAATGCTCTACCTGATTATTTTGACCTTTTAGCGAATTTCCCATATAGGGAATAAGCTATTACCGTAGTGCTCAAGGTAAGACCTGGACCCAGGACCGATTTAATTTTTCACTTTGAGGTCCCTAGAGGCCAAAAACACCATCAGTTTAATTTCATATATATATGTGTGTGTCCGTTAGCGCGATAACTCGAGCAAAAATGATCCAATTTTGATGAAATTTGATACAAACGTGTAAGCCTACGTTTATTCGAACAAGTTCGTGATCCAGCATAATCTGACCATGGGAACGGGGGTTTATGGGGGGTTTTATGGGGTAAAAATGGGGGTTTCCCATTTTTGACCCTAAAAACAAAAAAAATTGCGATTTCTTTCCAAACCGTTTTGTAGAACTTAAAAAAAAACAATAATTTAGTATATTGAAGTGCTGTTGTATGCCTAACGGTCACGGGGAAAATTCAAAAATAGTGTAATTTAAAATTCCCATGTTATTCTTATGGAGAAAATGAAAATTGTTGTAGTTTACTTGTTTATGGGTATATATTGATAAAATTTGGCAAATTTATTTATTTTATCCTATATTATAGACGTATGGTCAAAAAACACTTTTTACCTTCCCCGTAGCAGCAAACCTAAGCACTAGTTAAATCTAATGTTATATAAATAGGGAATAATATACGTCTTATTTATGGAAATATTTTAGTAATAATCTAATCAGACAAGTTGAAATTCGCTTAGTGTGCAGGTTTGCTGCGCGGGGGCATTTAATATGTCGTTGGCTTCTTTTAAGAAAAGTGTGGTGATTTAGAAGTAGTGAAGTGAAGATCCAGCCGTGTTTTGTGCCTGCGCCTCTCTGTTTACGAAATTTATCAACTGTCCTTTATTGTTTTGTTAAAATATCATGGCAGTATGGTACGCTTATTTTCTGTTATGTTTGGTTTGTTGCTTTTTATTTTGGTTTCATGTATAATTTCTGTTGATTTTGCACCCAAATTCACTATCAATAATTGTCTTGAATTAGTGATCGTTATTGTAAACTTCTTCCTGTTTGTCAACTTGCATTTATTGTTGTATTTGAATTAATTGTTCAATTATTGTTATCTCGTAGCTTGTTACTGATCTGAATTGTTTCATATTTTGCATCTTGTTATTTCTTTATAATTGTATCATAATCTAATTATCATATGTATTGGCGTCAGCCGTTGGTAAAGTAAATAATAAATAAATAAATATCGGCATTACTATC